GGTCAGGCACAGTTATGAACGTGGCATTAGTCAGCCCATTTACAATTCTACTATGCTTGAACGAGAAATGTCCCCCCTTTGGGAATGGTCTAAAGACAGTTCAGTCAGTGGCACTGCCCCAGGGGTGGATTTTATTTTTAAAAATCGAGTATAGGTCTTTCGGCTGGGATATTGTATCCCTCTCTTCTCCGGTTGACCTTAACAAGTAGGGTCGAGGCCTGCTTCCTAAATCATCGAAGAAATAGCTGATGGAAAAACCTTTTGATCACAAGTAAGCCTTGTACAGTATTTAGGTACTTCGCTGTGTGTGCCAGGGACATGACTATAATTCCTGATTGGGGAAGACTTCTACCATCTTCCTCAGTCTTTCTTCTGGGTAGCCAAGACAGGCTGAGTCAAAGCAGTTGTTTTCCTGAACTGAGAAAGCTATTCTTATGAAAACTTTCAACATTTACATCAAAATTACAACAAAAAAAACGAACCGAAGAAAACGAAAGGAAGGGGGGGGGGGTCTGTCTGAGTATGTGTGGCAATGTCTTAGTTAGTAAATTTAAACTTGCCTGCATAAATAAAAGCACAAACAAACAACTTAAATAAGTCACCAAGTCACAAGCGCTTTGAACAAAGACATTTTATTAGTACTTTTTCGGGGCTTTTAATACATCGTAAGTTATGAATTTATTCTGAATCAATCCTCGCTCCAAAACAGTCAGGGACATCCTCTCTATAAGTTGTAGACGTTCTTAGGATATTCCGTGTAGACATTGTTGGTGAGCTTGGTGATATCGCGAGGGTGTTTGTCCCAGCAGCGAGCTTGACCGTCACATTTCGTGTACAGCACCCTGGAGCACGGGAGAAGAACATGACGAGAGGTTTTTTTGTAATAGATTGGCATTATAATTTCCTAAATTGCGCACTGTGCCATTTTACCTGTTCACTATGATTGCTCAATACCTAGGTTTGAGAAATTGAAGATAAAACGTGTTAACCTCACAAATATAGTCAACCTTTATAGAATGCAATTCTTTGAATATCTTGATAACGACTCCGAATAATCTTACAATGTTGATAGAGCAGAGAAAACATCTAGTTCCTGACCTCAAGGTCTTAGTAACTTAAAACGGCCAAAAATGTCAGATAGAACTTAATATTCTAAGATAGCGATCTGACATAATTTGACCCAAATTAAGGGCAAAAGGTGAAAGTGCAGCACGCATAAAAAGTTTTCGAGATATGTTTTGGCCTTCAATCTGTTTGTAATGCAGCGGTCCGTTATGCGCACTCTTCGCAGCAATGTTTTAACAGAGAACGAAGAGCGGCAGACACGACAGTGGTTGTTGCGTCTAAAAGTACACGTTTACGATGTGAAACGACATCTGAAAATGTTCTGCTTTTCATATGAACGAAATACGCCAAGATCTGGTGAGTAAGCCTTTCTACACTACCATAATTATTACTATTCAAGAAGCAGGGTCTCCGAATCTGTAGCCCATTTCCGATGGGAGGGGCAAACTGTGTTGAGCTTTTGAAGTCTCCCAGAACAACCCAAGTTCAAAAGTGCTCCATTGAAGGAGATTCGAATAAGAGTCAGTAGATAACTAAATACAAACTGTATAGGCCTTGGTGGGGTCTTCCAAGTGCTTCCTGTTGCTACGGACGCAGTGATGCATGTGCTTTTGCCCTTCTACCAAAAGGTATATTATTATGTTGGTTTGTGTTTGTTTTGTTTTGTTTTTTTACTCTAGATTTTTTACGTCCCCATCAATACAATTTAGAATATATAGGAGGTGGGTTTCGATCTTGCCTGTCAATGGCTGAGTAGTTTCATTAAGAGTATTCCGTCTTAGGTATTGTCAAATGATCATAATCTATTTCACTGTTTTGATACTAAAGTTATGGTCGCGACGTTAGCGCAGTTGGTATCATTCTGGACTACGGAGCTGGTAGCCCCATTTCAATCCCGATGAGGCGATTTTAACTTGGGTTGTTTTGTGGGGGTTTTCAGGTTTTGCGCTCGACCTATCAAAGAAGACTTCAAATTCAGAGAACCTGCCTTTTACAGAAGCGTACAGTTTTGTAAAAGGTGTTAAACCTATACATATTCGCAATGTTCAAATTTCGCAAATTTCAAACTAAAATTATCTTGATTTGAAGATGAAAGCTTGACCAAAACAATATTGAGGAAACAGAAAACAACTACCACATGGAAGATGAACTTACGCGCTCTTTTTCTTGTTGAACTTGAGCAGAAGGTCGTGAGTGTGTCCTTGAGCAAGTTCAGAGGTCACCTTTACTGGCTTCCTATCAATGAGAGTCAGGAAATCCTCGTAGGTGAGGGAGAAGTCGTGATAGTGCTCTCCGGGAGGGTACTTGTACGTGGTGCCCATCTTTTTCCAATGTGGTGAGGAGAGAAGAGACACACAAAATGTAAGATGGGTTGATTATGTCTATGACGGACACTCATAGTCGAGGAGAAAAGTGTTTGTCTTATACAGGTCAGAGTCACTGTCATAAGAGAAACACAAACGTGCAGAAGAAGAGGGAAGTAATCGTTTGTACAGGATGGTATGAGGATTGG